GATGCTCCCAGAGGTGACAGCTGAAGGGCCCTGCCCACTCCAATCTGTCTGACCCCTGCCTCTCCATGTCCCCTTGTCTCGTGTGACAGGACACAGCCGGGTTGCCACCTCCTCCAGGGAGCCTTCCAGATTGCCCTGTCCTGTGCCTCCCCCGGGTGCTCCTCCAAGCCTCTCAGCAGACATAAAAGCATTGAACTTGTCTCTTTGCTTCCTGGATCACTGTCCTCTCCTGTCCCCCTGATTTTCCAGGGAGGTTCGTGAAGTCGCTGACAGTCCATGTCCCCTGCATCACGGAGGCCATTGTGTTTGGGTGGGTACGGAACAGTAGCCCTGGAGGAGTGAGTGAGTCAGTGAGAGACGCATTCAGAGCAAAGCAGAAAGGCCGAGCGGCTTGCTCCTTGCTGTGGCTTGCAGGGGTCCCCCACATCCACACCCGCAGCAGACCCCAGTTCTTTCCCCTGCTCTTGGGGCTGCATGCAGAGCAAGTGGCGCCCCACTAAACAGAAGGGAAAACTGAGGTGCAGGAGCCGAGCAGTGCGTTCATCGCGCATGTAGGGGAACTGGGGTGTGGCCCTACCCAGGAGACCTCAGCGTGTCGGGGCCCAGTCCTGGGTTCCTCCCTGGGCATCCAGGACCCTAGGCTGGGCTGTGGGGGGTTCTTGACTCTGAGCCCCAACAGTGCGCTGCACTGAGCTGTCAGGAGGGATCAGCAGCCCCAGCATCTCCCTAGATTTAATTAACAGGTCTTTCATCTCGGGCCTGGAGGAGTCAGCTATCTTCTGTCTCCTTAATTAACGTTCATTAAGCAAATCAGAACAACGGAGGCTTTGCTCCCTCCTCCTTGCCTGGGAGGTTTTAACCCTTGGTAGGTGGGCTTGGGGAGGGGAGGCTGAACAGAGGACCTGCACCCCCATACAGGCGCCTAACCCCCCCCACACAGGTGGGGATGAGCCCACCTGCCAGCACCTCTGTGTGAACTCCTGGGACCACCCCATCCAGCTTCCTCAAGGAAGCTGGTCCTGGCATGCTGTCACCCCAGAACCCTACAAGGCTCCCTATTGCTGCCCTTGCCTAGACCAGAGCCCTACTTGTTATAGTCTGTCCCCTCACCAGTACAGCCTCACCTCCCTTGCTCTCTACACCCCACCCCTGCCCATGCCCTGCTCTTTAAGACATGCCAGCCCAGCCGGGCGACGGTGGCACATGCCTTTAATCCCAGCACTCGGGAGGCAGAGGCAGGTGGATCTCTGGGAGTTGGAGACCAGCCTGGTCTACAGAGCCAGTTCCAGGACAGCCTCCAAAACAATACAGAGAAACCCTGTCTCAAAAAAAAAAAACAAAAAAACAAAACAAAACAAAAAAAAGACATGCAAGCCCTGCCCACACAGCCCCTCCCAGGTTGCTGTTCCCAGAGAGATCCCAGACAAAACTCTCCTGGAAGACAGGCTTCAAAGTTAGCAAGCCATGTGACAGAGATTCCAGAAACTGGTGTCTGCAAGGGCCTTGCAGGGGCGGATGGCCTTGGGGTAGGGGATGGGGCTTTCACTCTTCAAAGCAGAGCACAGGGACCGCCACACAGGGCTCCACTCTGAGATGGGGCCTCAAAGATCCAGGCTAGAGGGAGATGGGCCATGCCGCCTGGAGCTTCTGCGGGTTTGGGTTACATTGCTGGGGTTCCTGGCATCAGGGGACAGATACTGGACGTCCTCGGAGCCTTGGCCTTGTGTATGCTAGGCATGCGCTCTTCTATTGAGTCACTCCGCAGCTCTTCCAACCCCATCTTTACAGACTGGCACAGGGTAGACCACCCCCCGGCAAGGGTGAAGTGTGAGTTGGCGCAGGGTAGACCACTCTCTGGAGGGGTGAATGTGTGAGTTGGAGCAGGGTAGACCACTCCCCTGCCCGCAAGGGTGAAGTGTGAGTTGGAGCAGGGTAGACCACTCCCTGCAAGGGTGAAGTGTGAGTTGGAGCAGGGTAGACCACTCCCTGCCCGGAGGGGTGAATGTGTGAGTTGGAGCAGGGTAGACCACTCTCCGGAGGGGTGAATGTGTGAGTTGGAGCAGGGTAGACCACCCCCGCAAGAGTGAATGTGTGAGTTGGAGCAGGGTAGACCACCCCCGCAAGGGTGAATGTGTGAGTTGGCGCAGGGGTGAACGGAGTGAGCCCTGAATGCACAGTTCCTTGATGGACAGGTGGCCATCATTGCACACAGGCCGTCCTCAGCTGCCTCACTTAGCCCTTTCCAGCTGCTGTAGATAAGTTTATCGCCAGTGTCACCCACATCCTGAGAGCCCTGAGACTTCGGGGTGCACAGATCCCCTGTGTGTTGGAGGCACACTGGATTCTGGGCCCCTCCCCATCGGTCTCTGTCCTGACGTGTCATTTCCTGGATAAAGGCCCCAGTTCCGGGCCCCAAACCTCAGTGACTTTACAGGGTCACTGGATCCCAAGACTCGGGGAGTCGGGTGTCTCTCAGCCTCAAGCCCTCACAGGAAGGCAGGATGAAAGCCGACCGGGCACTTTCCCTCACCTGGCGGTGTCCACACCTAGGCTGGACTGTGCAGCCTGCACACAGACTCCCCAAGTTTTGGGTGAGCGTGGGAGCTAGTGTCTGTCCTGATAGTGGGTGAAAGACTGAAGGCCCGCAGGCAGCCGGAGGCCTGGCTCTGCCCCCCTCCTGCTGGGTGTCCCGGCAGTCACTCCTGCAGGCCCCTGGAGCAGGAGTCACTCCTGTCATTTACAGGCTGGCACGCCCGGACACCTGCCGTGTGCAGCCTAGGTGGCAAGGGCAGGGCTGGAGGAGAATGGGGCAGGCAACCTTCCCTGGACTTCATTCCCTTCTCAGGTCTGTCCTTAGCTGATTGCTGGTCAACCCCACACAGTGGTGCAAGCGAGGGTCACCATGTTCTTGGCCTCTAGGGGGCAAGAGGGGCCTGTTCCCGTGCTATAGCCAATGGCGCCACCTGGTGGTGCATGCTGTACACCTTGGGGACTGGAGGAGAGAAAGGGAAGCAGAGCACCTGGGTGCCTTTAAGGCCGGCCGCTGAGGTCACCAGCCAAGGCAGGGATGCTGGCCCAGATGGTGGTCATCCAGCTGGCCCTGAAAGAGACCATCACCTCTGTCCCAGGCCCCCAACCCAGCCTGGAGTCCTGTGCATTCCACAAGCATGCCTCTCGGATGTAGGTGTCCTCGGTGATGACCTTTCCTTGCTCATCCCACCAAGGCCGGGGGACGAGCAGGCAGGCCAGCCTGTTGGGGTGGAGAGCAGGTCCTGGTGAAGGGAAGAGGCTGAAGCAGGGTGCCATGGTATCAGCCCCACGCCACGCCATGAGCAAGCTGGGTACTTTCAAGGGGCAAGAGCCAAACGTGCCTCACCCCAGCGTCCCCAAGGCCTGCACAGTGAGGATGGACAGAGGGTGGCGCTTGCCCAAGCCCGTCCAGCCAGCCTTGCAGGGTGATGGAGCTGTATTTTAGCTGTTTGTGTGTAGACCAGTGCTCGCTTCACTGCGGTGCTCGGGGTCGAGGATCTGGGCTCTGGGCTGCACACACGGCTCCAATGTAGCTATTTCTGACGGGACTTATCTGTGTGCTCAAGGGAAGGCTGGGAGGGCCTGAGGGGATGCCACACAGAACATTGCTCCCAGGGAAGCACCTGCCACCACGACAGTGCAGCCAGCCACCTCTGCTGGCTCTGATTGAAGCCCTTCCCCACTCCCCGGAGAGGGGGGACGGACAGGATGCCACTGGGGCTATGGCTAGCACACAGGCTGCAGAGGTGAAATAGGTAAGGCAAACCCTCCCTTCTTTGGGACCTCATGTATTCCAGAACATTCAGTCAGAAGGGCAGAAGGCAGCCCCGGGGAGCCTGGCTACAGGGGCAGCTGGGTGGAGAAGACTCAGGGACAGTCTTAGTGAGAGGCGGTGGGTTCTGCCGCATGGGTGGTACAGAAAGAACCCGAATACCACGTGGTTAATGGCTTCTGTGTCACGCAGCGTGGATCCTCGCCTACTCAGTCCCTCAAGCAAATCAATAAAAGCCTCGTAGGTTGAACTGAGAGAGTAACCGAGAGCCTCATCCAAGCTGAGTCCTTGATTGGGAGTCTTTAGGGGTGTGTGTGTGGGGGAGTCTGCTCTGGCCTCCTCAGTCTGACCCGTCCTCATCATTGTCTCCAGCTCCGCCCCTCCTGCGGGACCAGCCAAGTGTCACTCAGAGGGGCAGCCCGGTCCATTTTCATCCTGCAATTGTGCACCGACTGCCTGCTCATGAACCAGCTTGGCCTTTTCCGTCCCACCAGCTGTCCATGCAAGGAACCCCTGTGACCCCGTCTATGGGTGTGAGGGAGGAAGTCCCAGAGGGAGCAGCACATGGTGGTCGCCACAGGTTTGCAGTTGGCCGGACTCTGGACCACTGGTGCCCGACCCCAAGAGACCCACGTCCCTAACCATGACCCTAACTCCCACACAGGGCTGGACCCCTGCTGGACCTCTCCACCCTAGGCCTTGTAGACCTGACAGCATCCAGCTCAGGGCTGTCCCTGCCATGGGTTCATTTTATTTCACTGTCTACAAGGGCCCGCAGCTGCTTCGGGAAGGACATAAGCTTGGTGGAGAGAAAGGGAGGCTTCTGTTAAGAGGAAGTTCCTTGGTAAATCCCAGGTGAAAATAGCAGCTTGGGGAAAAGAAGCCCGGAGTGGCAGCACTTTTGAAGGAGAAATGCCGGCAAGTATGGAGGGAAACTCCCCGAGGTCATTCTGCCAGGTGAAGACCTGGCCTTGCCTTGCCTTTTGACTCAGGAGGCCTCACATGCGCTTGGCTTCCCTAGAAACGTCCCACTAGCCGAATGAATGAAGCGGAGAGGCCTACGGGTCAGGCTCACAGTCCCTGTCCAAAGCCTAGCCAGAACAAGCAGGCACTCCCGGGCAAGTCCAGCAGGTGGGAGTGAGCACGAAGGGACTGAACTTGGGCGGTGGGGTGTTGTCTGCTTGGGTCCCGCCCTCAGATGCCGTCGGGTCCGCCTGCAGGGGAGGGCTGCGGGGCCAGTGGAGCCAAGAAGCCAAGCGCTGAACGCCGCAGGCAGGCGCAGAGAGGATCGGGACACAGCAGCACGGAGCGGGGCGCAGGCAAGGCTGTGTCCAGGGTCCTCTCCTGCCTGGCAATGGCAGCATTGGTGGCGCTGGTGTCCCTGGTGGTCCTGATGATACTAGAGGCGCATTGCGCAGCCGGTGCGGGCATGGGCTCTTGCTACGACGGCGCGGGTCGCGCACAGCGCTGTCTGCCTGAGTTCGAGAACGAGGCGTTCGGCCGACGCGCCGAGGCCTCGCACACATGTGGACGGCCCCCAGAGGACTTCTGCCCGCACGTTGGGGCTCCAGGCGCCGGGCCACAGTGCCAGCGCTGCGACGATGCAGACCCCCAGCTCCGCCACGACGCCTCCTACCTCACAGACTTCCACAACCCCGAAGACAGCACTTGGTGGCAGAGCCCGTCCATGGCCTTCGGGGTGCAGTACCCCACCTCAGTTAACCTTACCCTGCGCCTAGGTAAGCGTGTGTCTCCTGCCACCTTGTCTCCATCCCATGGAGGCCCTGGCAGAGAAGGAGGGCTGTGCACCTGGGACAGGCTGCAGAACCCAGGACCTGCGGCCTCTGAGCCGCAGGAGACCAGCCCAAGAGACACCCCTAAGGGCTTCCGGGAGCAGAAAGCTCCCCTCAGCTTTCCCAGAGCTATGGAACTGGGCGAGCAACAATTCCCAGGAAGAACTGTTAGGGTAGTTGGGGAGGATGACACCTCCATAATGACCAGGTCTAGGCAGGGACTCCTAATCTGGTCAGCTTCAAAGGCACCGTGGACCTCCAAGGTCTTGAGCAGCCTGGGATGGGAGTTAGGACAGCTGCCACCCAATGTGTATGCTGCAGCACCCCGGGCAGGACAGTCAGTTTCCTCCTGCACCCGATAGCTACCCCAGGTATTTGGCATGGCCCCTCTGTCTTACTCATGATGGCTGCACCCAGCCTGTGGAGCATTAGGTCCCCGGGGTGGGAACCCAGGACCCCAATTCTACCCTGAAGCTAGAATAATCTCTGCCCACTCCAAGTCCAGAAGAACCCATTGTCCTCCTTGGGTTCCTTGCTATGTCCTGGACACTGCAAATCTTCCAAAGCCTTGATAACTTGGATTTGGTATTTTCATAACTCATTTTGGCACTAACCCTGACCTTTTTATAACTTTGGGTATCCCAATAAGAGCCAATACTCATACATTTTGCTACTGAAATCTCTTTTGAGTACAGCCGATGGCCCCATAATGAAGCCCGTTAGGTAAGCACTCCATCGCTTAGCTACAGACATCCTCATAATCATACCCCGAGAAGTCCTGGATGCCAAAACACACCTGGAGCCTGAGTTTGGATGACAGACGATGAACTCTGTCCCCATGAAAAACTGGAAACTCAGAGAGGTTAAGTGTTCTGCTAACTGACGCTCGGGACAGGGTGTAAACCTGGCATGTGCTGTACCACTCATGACTAAGCTGCTTCTTCCTAGACAGGGGTGGCAAAGCCCTGACAAGGGCTGGGAAATGGCCTTGCCCTCTAAAAGAGAGCTGGGAGGATATCTAACCCCTTCAGCGCACAGGGAGGCACATTCCTCCTGCATCCCGAACCTGGTTCCCAGGAGTGAGGACACGAGATCTCTGACTGGAGCAAGGAGGTGGAACTTGGGTGAGGTGGGGTCTGCCCAGACAGGAAGCAGGAAGCTAGGGGAGTTGGCTGATGGGACTGGCAAGACCCCAAGGCCAGGGTGGGGAACCGTGAGGGAGACACAGTGTTCCCTGACAAAGGCTGTCACATGTGCCCATGAAATCCAGACGCCAAGGAGGGGTTCAGACCTCAGGCACCAGGGGCGAGGCAGATGGAGACGGAGTGGGAAGCCTTGTGTTTGCCTTAGGGGGACAGTCCTGTTCATAGCAGTGCTTGTACTATGCCTGATAAGTGCTCCTGGGATCTTTAGATGCTTCAACAAGCGGCCTCCAGGCACAGATCCTGGGCTGTGAATGTGAACAAAGACTCCACACGCTTACACATGTACAAGGCACATGCATATGGTGGGCCCTCCCTCAGGCCAGCGCCTAGAGGACAGCACCCATCCTACTGGGCAGCACCAAGCTCGTAGGCAGAAAGAAGGCTAGAAGAGTGTACCATTAATGAAGGAACGAATGAACGGCATTGCCGCACTGCATCCTGGGCACTGGGCCAGTTCAGTGTTCTCTTGTTGGTTCTGAAAGCAGGACAGGGTAGTAATCATGCAATGGTACTTCGGACTCAGGCACAGCACAGTCACTACTGGGAAGCTGGGATTCCGTGTTGCACCTCAGTTTCCCTGCCTGTACTGGGGGACAAGAACAGGACTGGGAAAGTAGCTCAGTTGGTAGAGTACTTGCCTAGTGTACACAGGCCCTGGATTCGATCCCCAGCACTGATAAAACTCAGAAGGTAGAGGCAGGAGAAGCAGGAGTAGGCTAGCCTTGCCCTGTCTCAAAACAAACAAACAAAAACTAGGAAAAACAGAAGTCGCTGCCTCTAAGGACAGTGAGACGGCCTCCGGTGCTCAGGTTGGAGCCACCATGGCCCTCATGGATGAGCAGAACGCCCTGGGTGGCGCTGTATCAGGGAATAAGGGCTCATCCGGTTCCAAAAGACATCTGGTCCCAGGGCCTGGCTGTGTTTGGGGCCGAGTATCTTAATTTTGCTGCAGCTAAGTCAGACTCATGGCATCTAGGAGTCCCCTGGCCGTTAGCTGAGGTGACACCCATCAGGCCTCTAGTGCCACTGTTTGCTGGGTCTCCCTCCCCTTTCACGAAAGCTCCTGGGAGGAGGAAGGGGGAGGCAGCTCTGGCCAGCATCCCCTGGAGGGGGTGGGGGTGAGGAGTGGAGGAAGAGGAGGCAGAGATCAGCCAGGGATGGGGGTCACAGCGTTCCCAGCTCCCCGCAGCTCCTGACATCTGGTCCAGATCCTATCCCGCAGTTGCTGTGGAGACAGGCCTTCCTGTCTGGGATAAAAGGCCACAGTGGGGATGGTGGGGCTGGCCACTCTCAGTGCTTCACGGAGGCCCAGAGAAGACAGCGGGGCTGGGGTGAGCGGTGGGTGGGGAGAGGAGGAAATAGAGGGGCCGTGGGGTGACAGACTGTTCAAGGACCAGGTAGTGACTGTGCCTGCATCAAGGACAATCTGACCAGCATTTCAGGGAGGGGTGTGTGTGTGTGCAGAATTTCTTCTTCACATATGGGGAAACTGAGACTCTGAGGATAAGGTCAGTCGTTCAGGGTCATACAGGGCAAAGAATGGTTCACATCCAGAGCTCCGCTGTTTGCTCTTAGGACACAGTAGAAGGGACAGGCTGGCCTTGAGCTTCTGCGCCTCCATCCTAGAAGAAACAGGTGTGGTGGCTCTCGGTGTCCTCTTGTCTTAGATTGTCAGGACTCCCCCAGGACCATAGAAAGATGCAGCTGGGTCCCAAGCCCCCAAGCGGGGGCAGGGGAGTAGCCAGATAGACCACTGGCACTCACCTGCCCAGTACTTTAGGAGCCTGTGACTTTGATTTTTGGCTACATCTATGAGCCGGGCGTTGGTGACGCACGCCTTTAATCCCAGCACTCGGGAGGCAGAGGCAGGTGGATCTCTGGAGTTCGAGGCCATCCTGGTCTACAAAGTGAGTTCCAGGAGAGCCTCCAAAACAATACAGAGAAACCCTGTCTCGAAAAAAAAAAGAAAAAAAAAAGACTACATCTATGCCCATGACGCAGGCCAGCCGTACGACACTGTGGGAAGAATCAGCTCTGAGAATAATACACATGGGGCACAGAAGCCTTAGCTGGTGGAGAGGGCGGGGTCAGCACAGGCCTTTGAAGGCCTGGAGGTGCTAAGAGTTAAGGAAAGCCAGAGGAGGGAAGAAAACCGTGGATGTTAAGCATGGAAAGACCTGGCTCAACTAGGAACTGGACCAGGGACCCTGCTGGGCCCGCAGTAGCCCCAAGGCTCCTGACTATCCCAGCTTCCGCTCAGTTATGCCTCCTCTGGAGTGGGTGGTGTGTTTGCCTTGGCTAGGGCCAGAGCCTGGGGACAGAGTCCTCAATCCACCTCCTCGGGGGATTTGGCTGGAATGCTAGGCCCCAGGCAGGTCAAGAGTCAAGGCAGTGGTCTTGGATAGCCTCCCTCCACCCACAGAAGTGGCCCTGAGCCCACTGGCCCTGTCCCCGTTCCTGGGGCCTCCCACAGTGAAGGTGGAACGTCCTGCAGGGGGGGATGACTTCCCAGACTCCCATGACGCCTCTCCACCTAGTGGGTTCTGACCATGGCCATGGGTCTCTGGGGCATCCGCGGCTCTTCCTCCCCTTCCCGTGAGGGGGCCTTGTTGTGAGCACCCTCACTTCTGCCCATTTACTTTCTCTTCTCAACTTCTGGTGACCCAGGCTAGCTCATAAGCCAGCGGGCGCCCACTGAGTGACAGATCCCAAGCCCTGGGAATGTGGCAGAGGAAGTGCCTGCATCCACTCAGCTTAGGATGTCCTCCTTCAGGAACTTCCTACCTGGCCTGCACTCTCCTGCGGTGGTGGCACACGCCTTTAATCCCAGCACTCGGGAGGCAGAGGCAGACGGATCTATGTGAGTTCGAGGCCAGCCTGGTCTAGAGAGCAAGTTCCAGGACAGCCTCCAAAACAATACAGAGAAACCCTGTCTGGAGAAAAAAAAAAAGAACCTTGCAGACATCTGGTCGCTTTGCCCTCTAATTGCTATGCCCATTTTGCAGACAAGGAAACTGAGGCACAATGCTGACCTACCCAGTTATCAGGAGAGAAGTCAGGCGTTTGACCAGTGAGTCTCTGGCACCCTGCGTCCTCTGCAGCAGCAAGCAGAGAAACGCTGAGTTCAGGTCGGCCCTTCTAGAGGCATTGCTGAGTGTTCTGAAACACGGCCTCCTCCCTGCCTGGCCCTGGCCCTTCTGAGGTCAGCCAGCTCTTACCCCACTTCCTGGCCTAACCTCACCCGATGGAACCATGATCCACCTCTGAGATTACCCAAGGCATCATTCCCCACCTGAGCCCTAGACTGGCCCATTTAAACAGCTTCCAAGCACCGTTTGGTCCTTGGGCCTCATGTCAGGGCCCAGGAGCAAAGACCCGTGCAGTCAGACCCTTCCAACAGTCAGTTGTGGTGCAGCCCAGCTGCGTGGGGACCGTGTACCTCCACGTTGTCACTGAGCTCAGAAACGTGCTCCATGCAACAGGGTGGAAGGCTGAGGCTGCTAGCTAGTCACAAGGGGACAAGTGCTTCGTGCGTGTGCGTCTAGACGGTTCCTGGAGCTGTCAAATTCATAGAGGCGGAAAGTAGACAGCTGGGGAGGGCACGGAAAGCCAGAGTTTAAGTGTTGGTGACTGCATGACAGGGTGTAGGTGCTTGGTACCATGGGCTGCACACTCAGGAATGGCTAAGAGCGTGCGTTCTGTTTTATGTACTTCTCCCAAAGAACCTCCGCCTCCATACAC